GGATGGCTGGGGCTAAGCCGAGAACCCCCTCCGTATTCCAGTGCTTGTGTACATGTTTTCTTGATCGAACTGCAACATGTTTGCCTTGTTCTTCGGTGACTGCACCAGGTTCAGGCCTTGTTGGGGTTTAGTCAGGCCGGTCAGGTCCATGCAGGGTTACTTTGACCCCTTCAGCTTCGACATTTCTGTCCACGTGCTGACATGTCGAAAGTTGCGACGCGTGGTCGCTCGAGACCTGGGCGCCGGCTTTGGGTCCTCGCATAAATCAAACCTGAATCAACATGCAGTGTGTAGTCCTACGGGACGGTGGTGTATGCCTCGGTGCTGCACTCAGATCCTCCAAGTTCGGAGGCGCCAATTCGCAGTGTCAGCGTTTAGCCTGCGGGGGCACAGTTCCATGATCGACCATACAGCCTCAAGGCAAACCCGCCTCTTATGGCACCCACAAGTAAGTCAGGCTTCATGCCACCAAGGAGCTACAAGCACTCACATCCAAGGCCATTGGCAGGCAGGTTTTCAATGACCTAACCTTTCTAGTTGTTTTGCTCTGTTGCTTAGTCGTAGCCGGTAGGCTGTGCTTTGTGTGCTTGCCGCCATGCCTTCGGCGCCACGCCCCACATGTGCTCCGGGTCTGGACCGCCTGCACTCCCGAACACCCAGAACTCGGCGCCAGGTCTTCATCATCTTCATACCGTTCTTCGTCTACAACGCCTTCCCCGGTGACGGCCTCGGACGTCTACACTTATCGGTGGGGTGGCCCCCCCTTTGCCGCCTCCTACAGTTTTTTTCGGTGGAGCCCGTCGACGTTACACCTCTGCGTGTGTCTACCTTTTGGCCCGGCCTTGCGCCTGCGCCCGCCACCACGGCAACATCGACGGCCCCTCCCTCTACTCTACTACACCAGCTGCAGCTCCTGCCACTACCGTTGCCGACACTGCCGCTGTCACTACCCCCAGCAACGTCCTGGAAATGCTCATCCAGTGCCTAGCGGAGACGGACCAACTGGAAACTTACCTGGAGTCAGTGCGTTCCACCGGTAATAAGGTCCGTCGGCACACCGCGTACCATGCGCTTGCCCGACGTCGTGCCGTTCTGCTTGCCCTACCAGATCGAGTCCTTTGCCAACAGGAACTCCTGGATGGTCGCTGTGTGTTCGACTTGCCCTTCGTTGCGGATGAACCCCTGACAACTTTTGGCCAACCTTCTTACTCATGCCCGAGTTGACCCTGATGGTTTTCAACTATTCTTTGAGCAGGTGGAAGCCGCGCCCAACGACCCCAGCCGTACTGGTGGACCGATGCTTCGCGCGGCTTTGCCTTTCCCTGCGGTTGCACACCGCATCCGTGGCGCGCCGACCTTAGCTTGGTTTGGACACAACACCACTGTGGCAACGGCTTTGCATGTACTACGTGAAGGTCACCTCCGCCCATCCACTTTTTTGCCTCCTCCGATGACTCCTGGATCCCTTCCGCGGCTTTCTACGCTCGCGGCAGTGTACATTCTTTGGCAAGGAGCCCTACGACACCTGTAGCCTGCCTGGACTTTTCAGACCGAGCACGACAACAAGCCTGCTCGGATGCTGCCTCCTTCCCGGCCTGCGCACGCCCCAACATGCCGAGGCCGGCCAGTCAACATCTTCGCAACAACCAGAGCGGCGTGGTCCCGGAGAATGCTGCCTCCTACTTTTGGTCCGTTGCACATGGTTCTGACGGACGTTGGGGAATCCACGTCAACCTGGCCCAGCTCGAAGGGATGGCCATCTTCTTGTGACACCACCGCGGTGAGTAAACAGGTTGCGTTTTGCTGGCACGTCGGTGATCTGTTGTTTCAGTTCCGCAGCCATTTACTTGATCCTCCACCACGTGCAGCTGTTGGTTCAGGCCCTTCTGATAGTTTGGACGACATGCCCGCCACCTCCTTCAACTCGGACTTTCTGCGCAGCCGACGGCCAACTACTTCAAATTCGAGATGTGTTACTTCGGGTCTACCAGCGCCGTCCCAACCTTCGACCCAACGATGTGACTCCTCCTCCTTCTGATGCGCCACTACCAGTGACAGATGAGACAGGCGCACCGGCGGCATCCGTGACTTTGACCCCTGGACCTACTCTTCCCTCAGCTCCCGTTCCACCTCCTGCTTAAGGCGGGCCATTCTAATCCCGCCCTGAATCCTCCGCCTGGCACTGCCACTACCACCACCACGACGACATCGCACCAGGCACAGAACACCAGACCGCAGCCGTGGACGACGGGAGTTCGTGAACGTGATCGCGACCGTGACCGACATCGTCATGCTTCTGGCACGGCCGCCGCCTCTACGCCGCTACGCCAACACTAACTGCCCCCCGCAATGTGGTAATCGGGCACCCTCGCGAGCTGGTTCCTGGTACTATTGCGGCGTCCAAGACGTCAGGCTTACCTGCGGTGGCTCGCACTCTTCCTGGCGGCACGATGGGCTATGTCGGCTATGTTCCAGTGAAGGCGATGCCGGTACCCCCTCCGAACCCATCTCCGGCACGCCCACCTTTGCGGAGAGGATCTACGAACCCGCCGGCACCGGAGGGACTATGCCTCCAGATCCTGATCGACTGAGTCGTCGCTCCCGCAGCCGCTCTCGCAGCCGTGCTCGTCGCCGCCGTCGAGAAGCTGAACGCCCACGAGAAGCTCATCCGCGTGAAGCCCGGCGCCCTGCAGATGCCCGACCTGTCACCTTGTACTCGGTGGCTCGCGATGAGATCACGGACATGTACTGACAAGATCAAAAAGACCGGCACCATGGTTGCGCACACACCTTGTGCCTTCTTCGGTTTGCACCTCATTTTCATTGCAATCCGCAGCCATTTCCGCAGCCTTTTTATATGGGACTTCGGCTTCTTCATCGCCCTTGTGAGCCCTTCATCATGGCTTCCTATCGTTCTCGCGCCCCAGTCCGTTCACATGGCAATGGTCGACTTTCACACCGACCCCGACCACATTCTGGCTCTCAAGGTCACTCCGATCGACGTGGTCCTCCTCGTGCTCACGGTTCCTATGCCACCCACTCACGTACGCAGGATTCCTGGCCTGCAGCTACACCAAGCACGAAGTGGACGCAGCCGCACCCCGACCCGGCCTTCTACACACCGACGACACAGTCAACCTTCGGTTTGGTCCGGGCGACACGGACAAGACCGGGATTAGCTTCAACACTCATCGCCCAGAACCCGGTCATCACGGCCATCGCAGCCCGACTCGCGCTCTTCGCAATTTCGGCACTCCGGAGACGAGGATCTCTTCATGGATCAAGCTCGACGACAACACGCCAGGTCACCGCCTCGCACGCGCGCGGCGCTCCTCACCACCACCGTCGACGGGACGACGCAATCGACGCGATCATCATCACCATGTACATCCTCTCCTCAACGACAAGTTCGAGGACGTGCGCTCCGGGTTCCAACTGGGTTACCAATGACCAATTCCTCGATTCCAACAACGACAGGGGGTTTCCTCTTCCCCGTCGGGTTGTCGACACAGCGCTCACATGCCGACTCGGGATAGCGGACATGCCCATTCACCAGGTGCCGGTCGTGGCGCTCGCACCCAACTCAATGCAGGCGTGGATTGTCCGATTGTTGGCGGCTGGACGTCCGCTTGTCCTGGAGATATTCCGCTCGGCAGGAAGCTCTACTGGCCTCCTTCATCATGAGGACTCTACGCAAAGGCGCCGATCAGTATGATGTCAGCGACATTCTGAAGGCCTTACACGATGGAGGCAGCGTGGCTACGGAGGGGCCGAAAGACCTCACACTTTGGTCCTACCGTGCGCAGCTTCTTCAGCATGTGGCCGACGCGGTGGCCACAGTCATCAACGACATGATCGGACGTTCGGACACCAACACCGGCAAACCGGCACTGCTTGAGCAGATACAACAGCTACAGAAGGAGAATGATGAACTTCGTCTTGCGGCCACTGGAGTAGAGTAGACACCCAGGGACTTGAGCATCCCCTGGCAACTCCCAATCCGGAACCTGACGAGACCACCCGCATCCGCCAGGCTTTCGAGCCCTTCGAACGCAAGGATCGCCGAACAGTACTGAGTTCCAATGCTCCCAAGTCCGGCAGCGCCACGGATGTTCAGAAATGGGTCGACAACTTGCTCAAGATGCACAAGGAGGCCTTTAATTCCAAGCATGGTGCGCTGCAGAAGCTGGTCAAGAAAGCCACAGGAGGGGTTCTACCCCCCTTGGCTCGCACGTTGGTTGACTGGGGTTTGTCTGTCAACATCACGTCCAAGTTGAACGAGGCCAATCAACTTCGCGTGTTAGCCATGGCCGAGGTTCTGGCAACGTTCAAACCAGCAGCTGCCCCTTCGACCTCGTGACCATCCATCTGTTGCAGACTACGTGCTACTACGAATGCGGACCAGACCGCCGTTTCACATCTGTGACGACCTCGTCGACGGCACTTTTGCTTACAATGACTTTGCCATGGTATGCATTGCACCTTGTTTTCGTCATCCTTTCCCGCAGCCGTTTGAGGAAGCCACATCGATCTTGGGTTGTTATTATCACGCCATGACCAAACGAAAAGCGTCGGAGGCAGGCCTACCCTGGGAGTCCGTCTTCGGCCAGATTTTCCGCATGGACGTCCATGTGCCCCCGGACAGAGTGACCCGACACCAGCCCATGCGGATGCAGCATGCATGAGACCATCTTGCAGGCCAAACTACTCCTCACATACCGCATCCACGACCGCACGGGGAGAGTACCTGACATACCCGCCTTCTTTCTTGAACAAGATCGACGTCGACTTTCAGATTGGTCGTCGGTCACCTCTGTGGCCATTGTCACCAGTGCACTTCGTTCGAGTCCATCCAGACGGTCGCCGATGACATGTTTTCATGGACGTGGACAGCTAATAAAAGTGCGCCACCGTTGCCGTTCTTCTCTCACAGTTGCTTTGCAGCCATTTTGCAGTGCGTTCTGTACCTCGCCCCGACCTCCTCCTGATCCCTTGCAGCCATGGCTTCGGCGTTCCGGGACTTCTCCACGACCCAGGAAATCGACGAGTGGTCCTCAGCAGCTTCTCGCTCTAGTCGCCGCAGCATCGTCAACGCCTGCTTTGTTCTACGTGGACTCAATCCTCCATCCTCTCCCTCTGCCGTGGCCTATACCGGCCTGTCTTCGATTCCGCTGAACCTTTGGGCTTCTTTCTTCATGGAACTACGTGGCTGGTTGATCTCTACTTCCCCTACGGACCCACGACCGTACGTTCAACGAGTCATGGATGACATCGCATACGGCCGTCCCAACATGTTCTACGACAAGGTCCGCATTGCAGACAACACCTATCAGGGCCTGCTTGACCGTCTTCGACGTTCATCTCGCCATCCGACTTTCTCAGGTCAACCGCACTATTGGCAAAGACGTCATACACTACCTCAAGAGTCGGGACACCATGTACTTTGTCAATCTTGACCTCGTGCAACGCCCCCCACCTCAACTCTTCGCCCGAGAGCCTACCCCTCGGATGATGGGTCCTTTTCTTTCTTGTCGAGAACTACCGTTGGGACGACAGTACCATAGCGTCGTCAGTTTCTCGGACATTGTCTTCGACATGCTTCTCCCCCATGGAGTCCGAACTTGGACAGCCCGAGAACTACTACCTTCTCAGTTACGCTGCCTTCGCGTACGTTCTCATCATGAACTTGACCACATCTACCCATACGGCTTCCAACTACTGTGATCCGACCACTGGATGATTCGGCGACCGCCCACGAGAAAAGCACTGATTGCGCAGGTCGACCCCGGACTCTTGGTGCATTTCCATCACCGCTTCCGCAGCCATCTTCAATATTGTTCCCGCAGCCGTTTCTTTCCATACTTGCTACCCACGAGCCATTCCTCCTCTCTTCGATCGTCATCAACATGGACACGGATCTTCGTCGCCTCACTGATGATGACATCCGTCGATGGCTACAACCTCTGCAGCCCTATCAATTCTTCCGCCTTGAGGACTTGATGAACCAGGAACGACCTACAACTGCTCCGGAACGGAAGGAGGAATGTTCCACATGCCATTTTCGACTTTGCACACGGAGATCCCCTTGCAGTGAACACCCCGGCCGGTGTAGTTGTCACGTATGCCATAAGTGGTGGAAACGGCATGTGCAACCCTTCAAGGGACACGGCAAAGGCGACAAAGGTGATGGCAAAGACACCAAAGACAAGGGCATTCATGGTGGTTCTGCAGGTTCCTCTGGCTCTACTACGGGTCCACCTGCTGTCAGCAATTAGCCGCCAATTGCGCAGCCTAGCACCGATCGGACCATCAGTGCCACCGTCGGCTTTGCGTTGATTGCCGCAGAAGATGCTTGCATGATGGATGAGACACTGCCTTTGCCATCCTTCTTCTCATAGTGGATTCGGTGTTTCTTCTTCACGCATCACGGTAGCCTTTTTCCGCGTTACTGCCGACTGTTACATTTCCTTGCACCTCATGAAGTGCTCTGCCGCTGCAGCGGGATTGGAATGGCCGGCCAACATCGTGCGTTTCGACATCTATGTCCCTGCCGGGTTCTTGGGCTACGACCACACGGAACAGCGCTATCAGCTTCATGTGTGGAGTGATTCCCAGGTGGACCGCATGAAGTACACAACCTCGCCAATTTACTGTACCAGCATCACGGCCTCTACCTTCACCCAAGGCATTTTCGCCTCGCACAAGCTGGCCGCCCCTTGCCATATTCTGCCCCTGTCACGCGTGCCGCCACGCTTGCCCAGGTATATGCTCAGCGTACCTGGGCTTCACCTGTTCGATCTTGGACTTGATCCGATGTTCTACTACGACTTCCACCAGGACTGATCCCGCTGCGCTCCTCCACAACTTCCTCTACGACGTCGTGCTCCTCTTCGTCAACACAGATGACGTGCTGTGAGCAATGGCTGAAAAAGCTCATTCTCCAGTACAAGTATCCTTTTCCTTCTTTTCATGTTCCCAAGAACAGCCTCCGAGAGGCCCCACATCAAAGCATCAAGAAGTTTCTTCACAAGTTTCAAGTATGGGAAGAAACCGTGTGGGAACCGGAATTTCGACTTGAGTCGGTTCCATGTCCATGTGCGAAGTACAGGAACCAGCTTCCAGAGAGTTGCTTTTCTTCCGGCCATGTTGCTGCAGGCCTTGAACATTTTCAGTTTTTGTTACCTGGCTGTAACAGCATTCTTTCGGCCAGTGCTGCGAGCACATTCTTCCCCGGCCGGAATCATTGGCTTGCCAAGTCCAGGGCTCTGTTTGATCAGTGGCTCAAGCGACACAGGCTGCCAAACACTCTGCATCCCATGTTTGAAGACTTCTGCAAAGAGCAGTGGCAACAACATGTCGGTGCATTGGAACATTCGTCCCGGTTGAACTGGGCTATGCTTCAAAAAGTCAAGTCCACCTTACAGAAAGACTTAGTCTTGTACACTGAGGACCATCATCCCAACCATGTTGCGTGTTACTGTCCTCGCTTTTTCCTTCGTGGATTGTGCACCACATGGGATGACCCCTCAGTATTCAAGCGCTTGGAGGGCTCACCGGCTCACCAGCTGAGTGGCAAGCAAAGATGCTGGATGAAATTCCTTCGCACCTCTCCAGACGGTATTCCTGGAGTTTCTGCAAGAGTGCGAAGTTGCCACAAGGCACAGTATTTCTCAAACGGAAAAAACAGTTCACCAAAGGTCGAACGATCATATCCTATTCCGGATCATTATGCAGCAAGCTCTTGGAGCTAGCTTCTGTTGCTTTGACTTTGATTGTCAAAACTTTGTACGCTGACAACCCAGGCCTGTTGTCGATGCCCCAGTTATGGCAAGCTATCCACAATCACTGGTCTTCATCTCGAAATGGGGATGAAGCAGATGTCGAGTGGAATGACGATTTGGTAGGATTCTTTAATGCAGTGCCCAGGGCCGACATTTTGAAGGCTGTCCACTGCATCGTCAAGGAATATAGCCAGCAGACAGGTCATACCGTCCTGGCTATCGACCTTCTTTCCAAATCTGGCCATCCAGGCCAGCCTCGAGGGAAAACCAAGTCTTCCCTCAAACGACTTTGGATACAGGACTTACCCTCCATAGTCGAATTGTCATTTTCCACGGGGGTATTCACAGCAGCCGGAAAATGCAGGTTGCAAGTCGAGGGGACATGTATTGGGAATCAAATATCTCCCATCTTGTCCGGACTCCCTGTCTTGCTGGCAGAGAGAGAATTCCTTTCGTCGTTGCCTGCAGCGATTTCTTCCTCGCTGCTATTTCTCCGATATGTTGACAATCGCCTGATACTCGGGCCGAAGGCTGCATTACAGTCGCAGCTCATGCAGCAATTTTGTGATCCCCATTTCTACCAAGGGATCGTGCTTGAAAGAGTTTCGGATCATCAGTGGCTTGGCTTTACCATTGATGCTGCTGCTCGTACAGCAACTTTTAATATGCCAGAGCAGCCCTGGCAAATCCGTTCTCCAGCCAGTGCCGGGTCATGGAAACTGGCAACATCTGGCTATTTTTCCCGTGCATCATTGATCCGCCAGTACGCCTGGCCTCCCGAAGCTATACCAGCTCGGCTTCGCCGACTCAAGCAACTCTATGTACAGGCAGGATTTCCTGCGAATGCTTTGCGGTAAAGTTGCAAACAACGAACTTTGCAGTGTTTGCAAACTTGAGTGTCGCTTGGTGCACCTCGAAGTTCTTCATGATTTCTGAGTCTTGGTCGTTGTACCTTGGCCAGCTGTATCAACCTCAAGCTTTTTGAGTACAGCCTCTGTGGTCTTCGGACCCATGTCTCAATATCATTTTCATTTCTATGGTGGAGGACCCTCTGGTCCTGACAAAGAGGGCGTTGTGGTTTCGACCACACCCTCCTCTCGCGAAGCGCGACTTGTTCGATCCATGTCTCACCCTCCGCCTCGCGCACCTCTACCTTTGCAAAATGTTTCACCCAGGCCAGCGAGTACCCCGCCTGGGCAGTTCAGTCGCGACAGGAGCCCTGATCGCGAAAGGAGCCCGCGACGTGAAAGGAGTCCGCGGCATCACCATCGTAGTCGTTCTCGCCGACGACAAAGGCGGCACCACCATACTCGACGACCTCAGCCAGCTGAGCACCCAGCTGAAAATCCAGCTGATCGGGCACCACATCGTTCGACGAGTGTGCGACCTGGGCCGCCTGTACCCAGGCCAGCTTCTGCACCTCCAGGTCTTTTACAACCGGGTGCACCTCGACCTCGCCCAACTTTGAACCCTGCGATCAGAATGGTCTCAGCTTCTCCTCCGGCTCCCGTTTCCAGCCCTGAACGGCCACCTGGTCAATGGACACCGGCATTGAGTCAAAGACCTTCAACACCCGGGTCGAAATTGCAATTTCAAAGGGCACCAGCACCGTGCACTACTGACCCTCAGCAAGTTTTGCAGCAAGCTGCAGCTTCCTTTAGAAGCCAGCCTGCTAGTAGTGCTCCTGCTGTGTCTACCTCTGCCCCACAGCAAGTTTTGCAACCAGCTGCAGAGGCCTTTAGAAGCCAACCTGCCAGTAGTGCCAATGCACCTGCTGTGCCTGCAAACCTTCATAGTGTAGCACCGGTGACTCCGCCGAAGAATTTACCTGTGAGTGCCAAAGGCCCACCAAGGCGGTCCACTCCTAGTTCTGTGGATGATGAACTCATGTTTCAAGCAACACATCGCAGCTCTTACCAGCAGCTGCAAGAACAAACCTCCCGGCGAGCCAAAGGCCGAAATGCCGTGGATTACTATGAAGAAGGGATGTCTCCTCTCCTCGCATATATGTTCTTTGTGTTGCATTATCATGAAAACTATTTGACCATCAATGGACTTCATGAGTGGCCGATTATACCGCACAGTGCCATTCGCCGATTTACTGATCGTGTTGCATGGATACGATAGTTTTCGGTTCCCACGCCCAGGATCCTGAAACAGGATGTTGAGCAAGTGTTGCAATTTTTGCTGACCCTTTTTTCGGCCCAGCTGAGAAACCTTTCCTGCCGATGATTCCCATTGGCCAGCGAGAAATTGTTTTGTTAGCAAAGGCTATTTTGGCCAGCAAGATTCCCTATAAGGAAATCTTTCAAGCTTATGCTTTGCCTCAAGAGGCACTGCATGTGTGGGAGCTACCTGTAGCCCACCTGCCCGGACCAGAGGAACAGGCGAATCGTTACTACCTTTGGGGGCATGCAACCTCGGCCGAAGGCCTGGTTGGTATCCTGACACTGGGCAGAGTACTCAGGTCCAGCCTCGAAGCTGTAGGATCTTCTCAATCTGATGAGATTTTGTCATTCTACGGCAAAGCCTCCCAGGAGGCACATTACGAGCCGTCCAAATTGGAGTTTGTTTCAAAGCTACATCACAGCACAAAAAACAGTGCTGGAGTGGTGGTCGGAGGGTTCATTGGAACCGCTCACCACAAAAGCAAGTCCGCTAGCACGATCCATGAGGGCCATTTGTGCAAGTTTCATGCATTGGTGCACTCACCTTCGGGTGACAAGAGATGGGCAATCAGAGAGGCAGCCGGCCGAATCGACCGGATCTGGGTTCTCTCCAGTACCCACAGTGCACCACTTTCGATGCAAACAGCAGTAGCAGAAACATCACACCCCAGACCTGTCACTTTCGACGGGGGAGATGGCAATGATTGGGGAGTCAACTGGCCCAGCATCGAAGATGCGGCCCGTGGTCCCAATTCCCTTACCGAGGTCGAGATGACATGCTCCTGTTGATTTCTTTTGCATGCCTAGCATCACAAGTGCTAAGGTTTTTGTTGAGTGCCTGTTGCAGCAGGAAGCCATTCAAGCATATCTTGTCGGGCTCAGTTGCTGATGTATGTTTTTGCTGCTTTCATTCCTTTCCTTTCAAGCCATGGAGAGACTTCCTCCGGATTCGCTCACAATCATAGCGAGTTACATTGCAGTGATTGAACTACATCTGGTTGTGACTCATGGTTCAACAGTCACACCAGACCGCCTTCCTCGGTGGGACGACAACCTGAAGCGTACACAAGCCTTCATGAGAAGGTTCGGAAGCTATCAACATCCGCTTCCTTGGCATGTACGCACTTCTCCGCTGCAGACCACCTGGACAGTCCATTTTTATACGAGTCATCTTGATCTCGGGGCGCTAATCAGACTCGCCACCGTGGCAAAACCATTGGTCAAACCAATGGCTCAGCCGTCTCAGCATGTTCCGGTCATTAACGTCCGGCATATCCCGCAAATCAGCTGCATGCACAATACCGACTTTGAGTGGACAAAGTCTACTCACAAGCAGTCCTATTTCGGCGCCGGATTGGAGATCTGCCGCCTCGACTGTAAGATTATGACTCACCTTCGCAGTCAGCGCTTGCGACCACCTGATATCTTTTGAGTCTGTACAGGTGATTGGCACTCCTGAGGACAGGAATACAAACAGCCTCCTTTGCCATGTAACTGCTGCGCCTGTGCTAGTTTTACAGCATGAGCACACCATTGTTTTCTTCTTCGTGCTTGTCTGTAGCTCGTTTCTCTCCGCAACTCCTTGCTTGTCATATCGAGCCATGAAGCGGACTTCGGATGAAATGCTTTCTTTCGAGTCCAACGATCCGTCTCAAAGCCCAATCGCACCAAAGAGGGCTACTCCACCGGATCGCAGCATAAAGATTTGGGTGGAAAATCTACCGCCACAATGTGGATGCGTAAGCGCGGCCTTCGACATGGCTGCCCAAGGCATCGTGGACGATTTGAAGACTGAGATCGTTTCGAGATTTTCCAATCCCAGGTTCGGGTTGTACAAGAAGCAGTTTCGACTACTTCAAGGTACTGAGCACAAGCAATTTTTCGAGAAACTTTCCACGCTTAATTGCGAGTTGCCTGTTCGTTTCCAGTGGTCGGAGTACACAACCGAGAGTCATCGACCTCCACTGGAGTACCGACCTTGACAATGTAGTATCCTGCTCTTTTTTCCGCCGAAAAGGCTTTGTGTGTGTGTGTGGACCTCTGTTGCTAAGAGGACACATTGATTTCAACATTGCAGGGGGGCAGCGAGCATTTCTGGATTGCGCTGCCTAACAAAGACCGTCCAGATTTGCTGTGATATGAGGAAGGGACGCCTTCTTCACGTACCTGCAGTTTTTCATGTCTGAAGAGTTTC